GTGGGCGTGTCGTAATTCTCCAAAACATGTTAGACAATCGCAAAGATGATAGGTAACTCAATCAACGTGGTCGGCATATTTACGGCAGATTGTCGGTATATTGTCGGTAGATTGTTGGTATTGTTGGTAGATTGTTGGTAGATTGTTGGTAGATTGTTGGTAGATTGTTGGTAGATTGTTGGTAGATTGTTGGTAGATTGTTGGTAGATTGTTGGTAGATTGTCGTCCTTAAAGAAAACATTAAGAAAACCACAATCTACCAACAATCTACCAACAATCTACCAACAATCTACCAACAATCTACCAACAATCTACCACCAATCTACCACCAATCTACCAACAATCTACCAACAATCTACCAACAATCTACCAACAATCTACCGACAACCTGCCGTAAATCTACCGACAATCTACCGTCAGTCGACATGCGCCCGCTGACCTAATACAGCGTCGTGGCCTCATAGGAAGCTCCACCCGAGGCCCGAGTGGAGGTGGCAACATGCGCCCGCCACACCCAGTACAGCGCTTCGTAGCCTCATAGGGAGCTCCACCCTAGGCACCAGTGGGAGTGGCCACATGCGTCCGCCACACCCAGTACAGCGTTTCGTGGCACCATAGGTAGCTCCACCATGATGATGATGATGATGATGATGATGATGATGATGATGATGATTGATGATGATGATGATGATGATGATGATGATGATGATGCTGATGCTGATGCTGATGCTGATGCTGATGAGGAGGAGGAGGAGGAGGAGAGGTAAGGAGGAGGAGGAGGGGGAGAGGAGGAGAAGGAGGAGGAGGAGGAGGAGGAGGAGGATGAGGAGGATGATGATGATGATGCTGATGATGATGATGATGATGAGGAGGAGGAGGAGGAGGAGGATGAGGATGGGGGAGGAGGAGGAGGAGGCGGAGGAGAGGAGGAGGAGGAGGAGGAGAGGCGGTAGGAGGAGGAGGAGAGGAGGAGGAGGGCGGAGGAGGAGGAGGAGGAGGAGGAGGAGAGCAGGGGAGGAGGAGGAGAGGAGGAGGAGGAGGAGGAGGAGGAGGAGGAAGGGGGGAGGGAGGAGGAGGAGGAGGAGGAGGAGGAGGAGGAAGGAGGAGGAGAGAGGAGGGAGGAGGAGAAGGAGGAAGGAGGAGGAGGAGGAGGAGGAGAGGAGGCTGAGGAGGAGGGGAAAGGAGGAGGAGGAGGAGGAGGAGGAGGAGGAGGAGGATAGGAGAGGCGGAGGAGGAGGAGGAGGAGGAGGAGGAGGAGGAGGAGGAGGGGAGGGGGAGGAGGAGGAGGAGGATAGGAGGAGAAGAGAGGAGAGGAGGAGGAGGAGGGGAGAGGGAGGAAAGGAGGAGGAGGAGGAGGGGGAGGGGGAGGTAGGAGAGGAGGAGGAAGGAGGAGGAGGAGGAGGAGGAGGAGAGGAGGGAGGAGGAGGAGGAGGAGGAGGAGGGAGAGAGGAGGAGGAGGAGGAGGAGGAGAGGAGGAGGAGGAGGAGGAGGAAGGAGGAGAAGGAGGAGGATGAGGAGGAGAAGGAGGAGGAGGAGGAGGGGGTGGGGGTGGCCACATCCGTCTGCCACACCCAGTGCAGCGTTTCGTGGTGGGAGCTCCACTTGCGGCCCCACTGGATCGGGCTTGGGCGACGACGACGACGACGACGACGACGACGGCGACGACGACGACGACAACGACGAGGGAGTGGGGAAGGACATGAGCATTCAGACTCGGACTCGGGCTCGGGCTCGGGGTCGGGCTCGCGTTGGGGCTCGGGATCGTTGCGGGGACCGTCGTCATCATCATCGGATTATCACCATCAGCAGATCCATCGACATCACGCCCGTCGTCGTTAACGCCTTGATCACCGGAGACACGGGAAATTAAATGCAGGATAGATTTAAGCCAAGAGCTATGCAGACAACGCAATCTTTACAGAGACATGCACACACGAGGACGCGCATATTCACTGCAGCGAAGACCCCCCTGTCCTACATCTCAGTTCTAACCTCAGGAAGGCCATGCTGCAATTCCTTCTCCTCCTCCCTCCCTGTCCCCACGCCCCGTGCCCTCGTCGGCTCGCGGGGCCACTAACCCGCTGCGGCGAAAGGGTTGTGTCCCCGTTCCCAGAGAGAGAATGCGGGAAGGGAGAGGGCGACGACGACGACGAGGGCTGAGGAGTATAGCACGACGACGACTACGAAGACGACGAACGCGACGACGACGATGGCTGCGGGAGAGAACAACGACGAGGGCTGAGGACGACGACGATGGAGACGACGAGCGCGACGACGACGACGACGAGGGATATCAATGGCAAACACATAATCAGGAAACAGCGCAGAAAGCAAGCAAACATGCAAGGGAACAATCCAGAACGCAAGCCAGGGAACAATCCAGAAAGCGAACCAGGGAACAATCAAGAAAGGCAGCCAGGGAAGAACCAAGCAAACCAGTGTCCACATGAAGTCAGGACGCCACAGAAATAATATGTGGAAACAAAACGCGTCATGTGCAATGCTTGATGACGATGTTTTTGTGCAAGGGAACAGCGCATGAATGTCTGAAGAACCGATGTGGCTGCATGCCGAATCTCTACCACACGTCATGGGCATATGGATAAATATGCACTCAAGCATTCAGCAAAGAATCGCGGTACTGCAGAGCTGTAGCCTTGGTGCACTGCGTGTCGTTGATGCGGTCGGTCACACTCTGGGCAACGAAGCCAGCAATGGGGGAGGCCTTGACAGTGATGCTCATGACGAAAACTCTCTTGTTCGATACATAGTCCTTCGCGCAGACCTCGTACCTGGGGACCAAACCCTCGGTGGGCCCGCAGCAGGTCGCACGATGGAGCTTCTCGCCTGAGGCACATGCGGCGGCGGTGCTCGCGGCCTTGGCCTTGGCCATGGGTGGTGCTGTCTTTTCTCCACTGCGGGGGGTTGCGCTCTCTCCGCTGGCGCCTGCCTGGCCGGTCTTCGGGGCGGGCGTGGATTTCACCCTCAGGCGCTTCCGCGGCGCGGTGGCGGCGGCCGCGTGGGAGAAAGGCTTCGCGCCGCCATCCCTAGCCTCAAGGGCTAGGTCCTTCCGCTTGGTGGTCCTTGGTCCAATGAGAACAGCAGCTGGGGTCGGAATGAACGAGGGCGTTCCGCTTGGCGGCAATGCTGGGGAACCACGAGAATCAATCACACCCTTCGTGAGCTTGGCGAACACCTCAAGCTTCTTCGGCGTCGACTGGATGGATATCGGAGAGCCGCCCTGGATCGAGGCAGGCGGGGGCGATGGCACCTCAACCAGGCCTTGTTTGAATACCGAAGGAGAAGCGGACAATGGCGAGGGGGCGCGAAGTGGCCGCGCAGGCGATGGCGTCTTAGCGGGGACAGCGGGTGCAGCAATGATGCGGTCTTCTGCTGGCGGCCTCGGCGTCCTCGGAGCGGTGATGTCGCCTTCGTTCCAGTCCCCTGGCTGATGCTGACACGGCGGAACAGAAGCCGACGTGGAAACATTGTCGGCGTCGGACAAGCGCATCTCGGCTGACAAGCTGGACATGACCATCACGTCGGCGCCGTTCAGCTTCCTCCTGAAAGAACCAGTCTTCCGATGATTACCCGATGCTGTCTCTTTCACGTAATTGCGAAGCATGTCAAACAATGAGCGCACGTGGTCAGCGAGATTCGAGGCCTCGTCGTCGACCTTGGTCGCCTGGATCTTTTCCGGGGTGGAAAGCAAGAGTTGTTTCGCTTCGGCCTCAAGGATACCTGCCCTGATCACGCCGTTCCGTAATCCACCTTGCATAAGGTCTTTCATGAGAGAAGATGCGTTGACGATCATGGCAGGGGTGACCTTCCAAGTCTCTTTGACATACGGCTTGCAAAAGCTAAAATCGTTCGATACGCGAAAATGTTTTGCGAGCATGATCTGATATTCTGCTGGGCCAACGCTGAAATTAGACGTTTCTCTGGGGCGAGAGGATTCTGGCATGGCTGTTCGGTGCCAGAAATTGCAGCGTCCCTTTCGGGCCACAAGAGCTACAGTCTGCCTGCGCTTGCAACTGCATTCCAAGAACCCACGCCATGCTCTGAGCATTGTGCCTGCGCCTTCACATTCCTCATTCCCATCCCATGCCAATCCTTTGCCGTCGTCTCCCTCCCCCTACCTTCCCTCTCTTCGTGCCTCCCAATTCCTTTTCGCTTTTCCTCCGCTCGCTCCCTCCCCCGCTGCTTCCAACATCCACTCCAACTGATGCTAACCGTATCCCGACTCCAACAATGTCATGTATTCTCCACCGCTGCTCGGTTCGCGCCCTCCCTGACAGAAAGCAGCGCCACCGTGTTCAGGAGCTGGGCAGCGACTTCAGCGACTTCTTGTGATGCTTGTGGATGGCCTGGAGCTCGTGGTAGAAATCCAAGAGGGCCTTGTACGGGGACGCTGCCTGGGCGACGACGACGACCACGACGACGACGACGACGACGACGACGAGGGCGACGACGACGACGACGACGACGACGACGACAACGACGACGGGGGCGAGGACGACGACGACAACGACGACGACGACGACGACCGCGGCGACGAAGACGACGACGACGACGACGACGACGACGACGACGACAACGACGACGGGGACGAGGACGACGACGATAACGACGACGACGCAGACGACGACGACGACGACGACGACGACGACAGCGGCGACGACGACGACGACGGCGACAAAGGTCGAGAGAGGACCGCTGCCTGTTTCAAGGCGTCTCGCACTGCTGACCGCCGCAACTCCTCCGGGGGGGTCACGAGCATCTCCTCGATGGTGTTCTGGCTGGCCACGACGCCCTTTCGAGGTTTCGCTGGGCGCCTCATCCCTGCCCCCCTCCCTGCGGTGCACCCTGCTGTCCCCTCGCATGCGAGCGTGCCCCCTCCTGCCCGAGATCTCACGTGTTCTCACGCGCTACGAAGTCTCTATGAAAGCCAAACTTGACCACGTGCTCAAAACTTCATCCACGTGCTCAAAACTTGTGCGTTATAGAGCGCTTGCCTTGCAGAGCTCCATGCCGCGCCTCCCGATGTCCACCGAGCTCTGGGTGGCGCGCGCCTGCACCAAGTCCTTGCCCATATGTTTGATGGCGAGGGTAGTGCGCGAGACTGCATCGAACGATTCCTGGAGCAACTGCATGTCCTCGGGCGTGGCAGGGCCATCGGCGCAGACGGCCGCGGGCTTGTCGCGGGAGCTGCCAGCGCCGGAGCCATCATCGAGCATCCACTTGTCGGAGGAGCGGGCGGATTCCATGCGCTCGAAGAAGGCCATCATACATTTCTCGTCAACCTTCGCTGCTTGGCACGCCCCTCCCTGCATTGGCCGTTGCCCCATCCGCTTCCTTCCCCCCGCTCGTCCCTCCCCTCCTCCTCGTCGTCGTCGTCGTTGTCGTCGTCGTCGTTTTCCCCTCCTCCACTCTCTATCATTCCCACTCGAACTCCCAATCCTCGTCGCGTTGCTACTCGTGCTCTTGCGCTTATTCCTGCCCAGGCAACTGCGTGGCAATGCTCCTGACCATGCTCCGCCCCCCTCCGCGTGCCAATTTTCCTGACCCCCCTGGGCACCAGCGCTGTGGTCTGGCCGTGGGTGGCCTCCTCGTGCATGTCCTTCTTCTCGTCGACAGTGTCCATCACGCGGTACTTGCCAGTCTTCTCGTTGAACACCACCTGCTTTGCATCCAGCGCCTCCTTGAAGAGCGCCTTGCTGCCAGCGAAGCGGGTGCCAATCATGACCAATTCATCCATGCCAACATTCAGAGAACCTATCGACTTGCTGGTGGTATGGCGAGCAATTTTCGTGAGGGTGTGCTCCTTATTTTTGATCGCGCCAGCAAACGTAACATGTCGAGGGACAACTTCATTGATCAATGCGTAGATGGCTTTCTCCTTGCCCCTGCTCGTGGATTCTTTCAGCTCGCTGTATTTCTTCTGCACTGATTCATCGAGCATGTCCAAGTTCCTATGAAATACAGCCCTCTGGGCGCGGGAGACCATGCGTTCATCAGGCACACCGTCCTCCGCGTCGACCGCGTCGTCGCCCTCGTTCGCATTAGGCGCACCTGCGCGCGCCTTGGTCTTGGGCGCAGCTGGCGGGGAAGCCTTGCTGGCGCATTTAGCCGTCGGCGTCTGCGCGGGGGTCGGCGGGCTCTCGTCGCCACTCGGCTGCGTGTCCTCCTGCTTCACTGCGGGGGCCAGCACGCTGTCCATGTCCGCGCCTGCTGCCATCGCGAGCAAGCCCGCGCCCGCCTTCGCCTTGGCCTTTTTGGACACCCAAAAGTGGGCACCGAAAGAATGGGCTCAATGCCCAACAACAAATGCTGTCCGAAACCAACAGCGGCCGCTGTTGGGCAGGCGGCCTTCTGTCTCGAATGGGCACACGCCGCGGCGGCGCGGGCAGCGAATTCTGTCCAGAATGAACAGGAACTGCTGTTGGGCATCATACCCATTCTGTCCGCGCCCATCTCGGGCGCCCAGAGCCTTCGCCTTAGGCGGGGCCTCCTCACCCGCCGCCGCCGGCCTCCGCTTCGGCCCCATTGCCCCCCCCGCAAGCGCGAGCAGCGCCAACGCACCGAGTTTGAGAATCATCCGCCTCCCCCCTGCGCTCCTTCACATCGCTGCCCTTCCGCCCGCCCCGTTTCGTCCGCCCCCGTGTTTCGTCATCCCGCTGATGCCAGGCTGCCCCCCCCCGCCGCAGAATTCGGGGACCTCCCTGCTCCTAGAAAATCGAGTCGCTTCTTTTCTTCACATTTTTCGGCCCCCAGTGACCCCCCACGACCCTCGGGGATCTCGCAGGTCTTTCGGGCCGACCGCGGGCCAGGGTCCAAGGCGGCGCGCGCCTTGCCAATTTCCTCTTCCTCATTCCCCCTTCCCCCTCCTTCCCCCTCCTCCTCCTCCTCCTCCTCCTCCTCCTCCTCCTCCTCCGCCTCCTCCTCCTCCTCCTCCTCCTCCTCCTCCCCTCCTCCTCCTCCTCCTCCCCCTCCTCCTCCCCCTCCCCCTCCTCCTCCCCTCCCTCCTCCTCCGCCTCCTCCTCCTCCCCCCTCCTCCTCCTCCTCCTCCTCCCCTCCTCCTCCTCCTCCCCCTCCTCCCCTCCCCCTCCTCCTCCCCCCCCCCCTCCTCCTCCTCCTCTTCCTCCTCCTCCTCCTCTTTTTCGTCCTCCTCGTCCCCCTCCCCCTCCCCTCTGCGATTCCCCCTCCTTATCCTTTTTGTTTTGCCTCGTGTGACGCTGCCCCTCCCCCGCGCATCCACTCGTCCTTTTCCGTTCGACCGCCGTTCTTTCTAGTGGTATCCACTCATGCTTCACTCATGCCCCATGCTCGTGACAACTGCCTTTACTCATGCTGCAATCATGCTGCATGCTCATGCCCACGCGCACTACCCTTGTTCATGACCCCATGCTCCACGCATATGCAAACTGCAAGTGCTCGAACTAACTACTTACTTGTGCCGAATGCCCCTGCTCATGCCTTCGGAAACGCCGCAAACTGCACTGCTTATGCCGCAACCGCCATTCCTGCCCCTTACTACTTCCACTCCTGCCCTCGCTCGTAGCCGCTGCTACTGCTACTGAACATGCCACTGCTACTGCTACTGCTCATGCCACTGCTACTGCTACTGCTCATGCCACTGCTACTGCCCATGCCACTGCTACTGATCATGCTACTGCTACTGCCCATGCCACTGCTACTGCTATTGCTCATGCCACTGCTACTGCTCATGCCACTGCTACTGCTCATGCCACTGCTACTGCTCATGCCACTGCTACTGCTACTGCTCATGCCACTGCTACTGCTACTGTTCATGTCATTGCTACTGATACTGCTCATGCTACTGCTCATGCCACTGCTACTGCTACTGCTACTGCTCATGCCACTGCTACTGCATGCTGTTTCCACTCCTGCGCATGCCTCTGCTACTGCTACTGCTCATGCCACTGCTGCTGTTACCACTTTGCCACTGCTACTGCTACTGCTGATGCCACTTGCTGTTTCTGTACATTTCACCGCAATATTCCTGTAACTCGTCCACGACAATCATCGAACCAGCCCTTATCCCAGACAAACTAAGTTAAGGGCGAACTTAAGTTCACTAAGTTAAAGGTAAAGGCGCCCAAAACTAAGTTAAATTCTGAAGGGAAAAAACTAAGTTAAGTTATTTTACCCACAAGAACACTAACATAGTTTTCTGAGGGTGGCCGATCCTTGGGGCCGGGCCGGCGCCCGAGCCGGCGCCCGGGCCGGGCGCCCGAGCCGGCGCCCGGGCCGGCGCCTGGGCCGGGTCCGGAACCGGCTCTGGCCGGCGCCAGAAAATCGAGTTCCGAGGCGGCGCCGAAAAAAGGCCATTCCAATACACATTTTTCTTTTGAAAATGCTGAATTTCTGCTTCTGGCGCCCGGGAAGAAGGCCTCCTGCACGGGCCGATTCCGGCGTGCTTCCGCTCGTTCCGGATCGCGTTCCCGCTGCAGCGCTGGCCTCATTTCCGCGCTTCCGCTCGTTTCGACTCGCGCTCCCGCTGCAGCGCTGGCGTCATTCCCCGTGCCATGCCACGGCATGCAATGCAATGCTAGGTTGATACAACGCTTCGCGGTGCTCTCCTACGCCATGCCATGCCGTGCTCTACAATGCATCGCGTACCCTTTCGGGATCATTGCCCTGCTCGACATCCGATTGTGCGAGTAGAGAGGGGATCCGCCCCATGGTAAGGGATGGGAGGGAGGGGTAGGATGTCAGATATGACGCGAGCGCACCTAGCTTGTCCTCCTCCCCCTCCGCCTCCCTCCCCCTCCCCCTCCCCCCCCCCCTCCCCCTCCCCTCCCCCTTCCCCCTCCCCCTCCTCCTCCTCCTCCTCCTCTGTTTCTGTTTCTGTTTCTGTTTCTGTTTCCCAGGGCGGAGGTGGTCGGCGACGCGCCTCAGCCAGCAAGAATCCGCCCCTCACGCAGGAGGTCGAACCATTTCCGATTCCGCGCGCCGTCGGTGACAGGCACGGGGCGGCAAAGCAAGCAGCGGGCGCGCCGCTGCCGCTCAGGGTCGTCTTTCACGCGCGCAGAAGGAGTTCAAGGAGGAGAAGGAGAATATCATTCGTATTATGCTTCTGAACTGTATCATGATTGATACTGTGATCATTGCCGTTACCATTCACAATATTATTATACGTGCTCGTCGCATTATTTTAATTATTATGAGTGGCATTCGTCTTCTTATAATTCCGATTAGTATGCATACTAGTAACAGCATCATGAATATCACCGGCAGCAGTGGTATGAGTATTAATGCTCGTATGGTTGTTGTCCTTTTTCTTTATAACATTAGTTTTCTTCCTCTTCATATGAAAACTCATGATCCTAATCCTCCTCCTCCTCGTCCTCCTCCTTCTCCTCCTCCTGAAGGTGTCGTCGCAACTGTCCTCGCAGATGTAGATGACGCCATCTACCGGAATCATGATGCCGCAGGCGGCGCAGGGCAGCGGGTCGTCGAACGGATTCGAGTCCCTGTCCAGCACGCGCCCCTTCGAGCAGAGCCTGCGGAGTCCCACCTTCACCGACCCGTCCTGCGCGAGCTTCACGGCCAACTGCACGAAGGGTTGCTCGCACGCCGACGCCGCCCTCGTCCGCTTCAGGGCCGCGGCGGGGAGGGCGACCCACTCCAAGTACTCGATCCGCTTCTGCTCGGAGTCCTGGCGCTCGAGGTCCAGCTTCACGATGGACTCGGAGCTCTTCTCCTCGATGCCCTGAATGACCTCCGCGTCGGCCTGGCGGTCCCTCGAGGCTGCCGTTGTCGTCGTCGGCGGGCTCGTCGGACTCCATCTGCGGCTCGCCTGCCTGGCGGTGCGCAAGCTTCCAGCCCGCCGCCAGGCCCTGGCCGAAGGCGCAGGCCTCGCCGATGGGGTCGCTCCGCAGCCAAGCTCCTGGCGCCAGCACCGGCGTCGCCTCCGCGAGGCACTGCACGGCGTGCCCGCTCTCAGGAGGGCACGGCACGCACTCGAACGGTACGTCCACGATGCCGCCTGTCTTCGCGAACTGGCATTCCAGTCTGGGCCCCGCGGCAGCCCAGGCCAAGTCCTCGGGGGACGCGCGCGCGAAGCCCCTCGCTGGCACGCGAGCCGCATGCCACGCAGCGTTCCGCTGGCGGCGGCGGCCGCCTGGAACTGGCAGGCCCTCGGCCAGCAGCATCAACGCAGGTCTCGCCGCGATCTCGCGGTCGCGCCATGAGCCCGGCGCCGCCAGGCCGTCCGCTTGGAACTTGCGGCTGGCAGCCTCGCAGGCACGCTGGCGCCTGAGTCGCGCAGCGCGCCTCGCTGCAGCGGGCTCCCCGACCTGGATCTCCAAGGAGCGGCCCGAAAGCCAGATCCCCTCCTGAGCCTCAAGCGGTCCTGACTTCAGCGTCTCGACGGTGCGGTTCCTCCTCCTCGTCCTCCTCTTCCTCCTCCTCCTCCTCCTCCTCCTCCTCCTTCGCCTCCTCCTCCTCCTACAGCAAGTTCGTGTCGTGTCGACCCCGCCGTTGGTTCCCGACATCGCGGGGATCGTTCAACCTTGAACGATCGGCCATCCCTGAAACGTCAGGATCTTTCAACATCGCCCGATTCTGGGTCGCCGGCGACAGTCAACGTTGAACACCCGCGGCGGGGTCGCCGCGGGTCGACACGACGCGAACCGACCGTATGTCTCTCCTCCTTCTTCGATGAAAAGGCGCCTCTCGATCGCGGCGCCGGGCACGGGCTCCACAACGGGCTGCTCGTGCTCGCCCTCGCAGTTCTCCCACTCCAGCTCGTCGGGCCTTGAGCAGAGTACGCCCGCATTGGCATAGCTCGGCCGTTCAAAGATGCGGCCCCGAGGGATGGGCCCCTTAAGGATAGGAATGGATCCGAGGTTGAACGTCTGTGTTCAAGGCCCCTCGTCCTTAGGGCAGGATGGCCCAAGATCGAATCAGAAGATCGAATCGGCAATCGAGATAAGTCGATTCAGAAAACATCGGCAGGCAGATCGGGAAACATCGACATCGACGCCCAGCGACCCGAACCGAGGCCTGCACAAAAAGGGAACCCGAACTGACGTCAGAATCCGGGAGTCGAGTCGAAGCAGAATCGAGATCCTCGAAATCGAGTCGATGCGAATCAGCAGAGCCCGAATGGCCCCTCGTCCCTGGGGCCCCCTCCCTCTTGGCCCCACCCTGGAGCCGCCGAATAGCGCGGCGGCGCCGTCTGCGACCTGCCCAGGGGGTCGGGTGGCAGCAGGCCGCTGGCCGCCTCTATGAACCCGTTCCTGACGACGTACATGCCCTCGTACCCGAGCGGAACCTGCAGAGGGTCTCCAGAAACCTCTGGGTTGCGTGACTCGGCGGCGAGGGAGAGGTGGAAGTGAGAAGGAAGGAGGAGGCCTTCTCAGAAGGTTCGGAAGTCCCCCGGCCTTACGGTTTTTGCACGCCTTCCCCGAAGACTGGAAAAACGTCTCAGAAGGCGCGAGGGCTTCTGAGAAGACCCGCCGCCTTCTGACAAGGCCTCCTCCTTCTCATTTCCCCCCTTCGCTCGCCGCCGAGTGATAAACGACCCCTGGCCAAATAAAACAGGATAGCCCATATTGGACAAACATTGACAGCATATATATATATATACATATGTCGCTGCGCTGTTCATTCTGAGCCACGTCCACACCGCAGAACGGGGGGGGGCTCCATAGCAGTCACGAGCGGCGAACGTACGGCAAGTTCGTGTCGTGTCGACCCCGCCGTTGGTTCCCGACATCGCGGGGATCGTTCAACCTTGAACGATCGGCCGTTCCCGAAACGTCAGGATCATTCAACATCGCCTGATTCTGGGTCGCCGGCGACGTTCAACGTTGAACACCCGCGGCGGGGTCGCCGCGGGTCGACACGACGCGAACCGACCGTATCCATATTCATCTATATCCACGCCCTCGCGGTATGGCTTCCGGGGAGCGATGCCGTGGATACGCGGTCGCACGGATGCGTTCCGCGCGGGGCATACGCTAACGAAACGCCCCGTGTCCGCGGAGTCGCGGCCCAGGGGCGCGGCCCGCGAGGCCGCGGCCAGACGAAGAAACAACGGCGTGGACGGTTCGGCATAGGAAGAACAAACAACAACTCGGCCAAACGCGGCAGAACTGTCGAAACTCCGCGCGAATTTCTGTTGAGCGGGTGCCGGCTCTCCTGGTATTCTTAAGTCCTATAGGCCTACCACGACATGTTCTTAGAGCCCACATATGCGCTGAGAACGAGAACCATGTTCTTAGAACGTAGACCCGATGCTCTAACACAAGGCAGTCTCAGCCACAACTGTTCTACGAGCCAAAAGGTTCTTAGAACATTCTATGGTGGGCCTGTAGGCACGCCCGGGCGCTTCGCCACGGCGTGCTTCTGGCATCGACGCACGCTGGGGCCCCCCTGGCTGCGCCTCCGGCGCGCCCCTAGCACGCTCCGCGCGCCTGGGAGGCGGGCCCAAGCGCCGATCAAAAGAATACGTGCGGAGCTCCCGAAGTTCATGTTTACAGTCGGGCCGGTCCTCCTCCGGTCCTCCTCCCCAAGGGGGAGGGGCCAGGGGGGAGTCCTTTTCCTCCTCCTTCTCCTCCTCCTCCTCATCTCCGCTTCCTCCTCCACCTCCTCCTCCACCTCCTCCTTCTCCTCCCCCTCCTGGTCGTCGCCGATGTCTTTCAGGGTCGGCGGCACCGGCCGTCAGGCCTTCACAATAAGGAGCGGTACAGAAGGAGCCAGGCTCTCTTGGGGCGTCAACAGCGACAGCGTGCCCGAGGAGAGATAGAGGAAACACCACGGACGGACCTAAGGAGCATCGAGCCCCTTCCGCACCCAAACTGTTCCTAATTTTAGCGTCTTGACTGTATGCATGTTGCTCTTCCTCGATTCCTTGAACTTCGGCCTAATCCGACCCGCCTGGGAAACTTTCTGCTGATGCAATGTGTTCTTCGATCGGAGCTTCGTCAAAGGAGGGCACAGCTGAACGGTGGCTCAGGCTTCCATATGCCCCCGTTGACTAAGACTATGCCTATGTCTACGGCGTCTGGGGCCACCTAAAGGGGGGCACAACGAGACGTGGAAATCGGCATTCCCCGTGCCCCCGTTTGCTGTGCCCCCATCTCTGGCGCCCTGATTCGATCCTCCTGAGCGGCACCGGATGTTCAGCGGCGCCCGTCATCCCCCTACTCCCCTTCCTCGGAGGCAACGATAAAGGGGGGACTGGCAAAGGGGGAAAACATCGACCTTGAACCGGCGACACATCGCCGATAGATCGGCGAGAGGCTCCCGATAGCGAAACCGCACCTTCCTGGGCGGGGTGGCGCTATCGGGCCCCTATCGGCGGTCAATGGGCGATTGGGGGTCGAGCAATCCCCCCTATTTGAGCAGGGACCGACCGTCCAAGCATGCCCATAGGCTGGCCACGACATGTTCTTAGAACCAAATAATGGTCTAAGAGCAAAGGCAGTGCTGTTAGAACATGATGCCAATGTGTTAAAACAATACGGCCTCAGCCAGCAATGTTCTGAGAACGTTTCGCAAAAAACACGAGAGGCTCTTAGAACATTCTCTGGTGGGTCTAGAGTCCACGGGAAAGCCAGGACGCCTCGTAACTGCTTGACCTATTCGGGAGCACGCAAACATGGATTAGCGATCCATGGATTTGGCGCGCGGCCGCCAAATCCATGGATCGGGGGAGGTCCCCTCCCCAAAATGCGGCCGGTGCCGCCGCGCTCGGCGGCAGAAATCCGCGGAATTCCCATGGAAACGGGACCAGTCGCTGCTCCACGCCCCCGTAATCCACGTGTGCAATCGCCTGATGTAGTCTACGGGAAAGCCAGGACGCCTCGTCACTGCTTGAGCTATGCCTATCCTTAGGTCGGGCATGTCCTCCTACAGGCGGATTTTGAACGAAAAATGAAAATACTCAACAAGTGCTCCCAAAAAGTTAAAACAAAACCATATAAAAATCCTCCCCAGAGTATTTTCTGACTATTTTTGAACATTCCCCCTGTAGAGGGACAAGCCCGACTTACACCTATGCCCTGTGCCTATCCCCCCCCCCTGTCGCTGCCCCTGACCCCTGCCGGGGCCAACGGGGCCGCGCGCAGGCGGGGCGCAGTCCTGGCAAGGCTGGGGGGGGGGCTGCAGCCCGTGGCGAGGGCGGGGGATGATCCGAAACGGCCGCGGAGAGACAACGTGCCCACAGAGGCCTCCCAGAGGGAGTCGGAGCAGATGGGGTGGGAGAATCGCTTCGCATCGCCGATACATCTGCGATGCATCGGTGATGCATCGGCGATGCACTGGCGATGCATCGGCGATGCACTGGCGATGCATCGGCGATGCATCGGCAACGTCGATGTGAAGCAAATCGGGCTGCACATTGAGCCGCATCGGCGATGCATCGGCAATGCGGCGCGATCCTCCGACCCCATCTGCTTCGACCCCATCTGGGAGGCCTTGAGCCCATCGGTCGGAAGAAGTGGACAGAAGCATGAATCAGGGAAACGTAAGACTCGAGTAAGCAGGAACTGGGGTTTGCCGACGTTTTTTGACGAGCGCGCCCTGGATGTTGACGGTCCAGTTTTGCTGGAATGTTTGCAGCGGGAGCGCACGTCAAACTTCAGATTGGGTCTCGTCATTTGTTATGATGGCCCCGTCAGGCCAACCCGCATACCCCGTACCCGAGTCTGACGTCCCCCCGAATGAAGCAGGAAGGCGTTGGCAATACGACGACATGTATTGGATCTCCACCCGGCCCCTCAAAACCGACCAGAAAGGGAACAGCAGCTCGATTTTTGAAGCAGGAAAGCGCCTGGAGTGAATCAAGACATGGGAGTGCAGAAAATATGCGTTCAACGACCGGCGGATATTCTTCCTCGTCCTCCAGAAGAAGAAAAAGCTGCACAAACAGAAACTTCGTGAGCTCCGCGCGGACCTCCATAAGTTTGCGCTCATGCCTGACATATGCCCTTTTGCTCTTCCGGAAAGGACATGCTCCTCATCGTCCTCCTCTTTCTCCTCCTCGTCCTCGCCCCCCAGCGGGGTTCGTCACCAGACTGCACTGCCTCGCCTCTCCTGCCCTGCGCTTGCTCGCATCGCTGCACCCGCGCCAGAAGCTGAGGCACATCACGTTTGAGCATCGGGGGCGTCCAAGATGGGGGCGTCCAGGAGAGGGTTCGCAAATCGTGGCCCGATCTGAGGCATGTGCGCGGGCAACGGGGTGACAAGGGATCGTTTTGAAAGAAGAGGGGGCCACGAATTCGAGGGAGACTGCATTGTCCCAGGCATGATACCCACCCACTCTCCATCACCCCCTTCTTGGCCGCCCCCGACAAAATTTGTTTGACTCATTGGACGCAGCTGGTGAACTTTTCATCACACCGGGTCGCAGCTATTAGTGGCGCCGCTTCGGGCATTCGGTGCTCCGTTTGCTGGCTGTGGCGCAGGATCCAATGCGCCTCCCACCCTCGTCATCCGTTTCCTCCTCCACGGTTTCTGAGAGACCGTGAAAGAGGAGAAAAAGTAAGTAGAGAAGGTCAGAAGAACCAGAGGGAATGATAAACGAATACAAGGAATACGTAAGACACCGTCTTGAGGGGACTGGAATCACGAGAACAATCGTTCCCAGAAGAAGCATGAAGAGACCGTCTCTTCCTTTCCTTTTTCAGTACGGCTGTGAAGAGGTGGTCGCAGAATGACGGAGCCCAGACCTCCTACGTCTGGAGGGCATCAGGGCAGAAGTGTTTCGCCACTTTTGGTCTCCCTCATGGGTCGAGGTGTTAGGAGGCAGCTCCTGGAAAGACTCAATAAGAACGGCGAGAGGCGATTAAGCCCACTCAAGGGACTGCTACGATAGGAGCTCGCAAACAGAAATCGTTTACAAGAAACCCAACCCTGAGACCCCAGGACGTCAATTGATTTTTGGTGTGGGAACGTCACGCTGTCCATCTCAAAACCATCGAAACCAAAGAAGCCCAGGGTACCCTGCAAGCAAGCAGGGTGCTTCTTGGCATGGTTTCCACTGTAAGCCATGTTGGCCCACATGAAGCCTGGAGCCCAACTGGATTCAGCAGGATCAGGCAGCACTAAGCAGGATTGTGCTGGATCGCGTCGTTTGTCGATCACGGATATACAATTAGCCCGTAGCACAAGGATACGCGGAAAGGATGCAAGGGCCTTGGACGCCCTTTTCGAAGCTTTCCGAACGGGGCGCGGCCGACGAGAGTGGTCAAGGACGGACCGAAGAGGCAAGGATGCAAAGGTACCCTTGGGAAGGTTGCCCATCCTTGCCATGCGGGTCGATTGTACCTGCGCCGATGCTGGATAGATGGATCTCCCAAGAAGCACATCCTGCGGGGCGGAACCCCGGCCCCCTGGAGAAGCCGTCGAGAGGCCCCAGAAGGCCCCGCGCACTGTCCTCGCGGACCTGGCGTTCGCGCAGACGGGCGGGCACAGGGCCAATGTGCAGCAAAACGGATGCACTGCAAGAGACTGAATGGGCGACTGGCAAAGGGGGGATGCACGACCTGGAATCGGCGATACATCGCCGACAGATCGGCGATACACCCCCGATAGTGAATCCGCACCTTCCTGTGCAGGTTGGGGCTCTCGGGCCTCAATCGGCGATCAATGCGCGATTGGGGGTCGATGCATCCCCCCCTTACAGTAGGGGCCCGACCACAACAAACCTTCCACAAGAAACCCGACCCTGAGACCCGAGGCCGTCCATCGATTTCGGGCGTGGGAACGCCGCACCCTCCACAGCAATACCGTCGAAACCAAAGATAATCCCAAGGCACCTTGGAGGCAAGCAGGGTGCTTCTTGGCACGGGTCTCCATTGTAAGGAGCGAATGGATTTTTCTGGGTCACGGCGAGCTTCGGCCACGACCAGGCTCTCCGACCCAGAGGCAACGAGCGGCCCAAAATCCAACCTCTCCTGAACCTAAAGCGGTCCGAATTTCAGCGTCTTGACTGCGCGGTTCCCCCTCCTCCTCCTCCTCCGCCTCCTCCTCCGCCTCCTTCTCCTCCTTCTACGCCAGACCAACCTGAGGCTATCCCGTGGAGCTCGTGAAACAAAAGTACTCCACTCGGCTCAAGAAAAGAGGACTTGACGGGCGCCGCGGGCAACGTAGGAAGTCGAGGCTAGCAAAAGAGTCGACAATTTGAGTCGGCGCCCGCCAACTCCGTGAAGACAGGGCAGTCCTGGTACCTTGGTGAGTACACGCCTCCCCTCCACGTAATCCAACTCAACTCCATCCCTTCGTATCTTTGGTGCAGTGGTACACGCTGCGGAATGAGCGCGCTACTGCAAGAGAACGTGCTGCTGAGAATTTGCATCCTGACATGCACGTGGGCAGATTGCCACGTGTACGTCTAGCGACGCATAGTGGCCAAAAGAAATGTGATCTGTTGGCAGGGATGTTTGGTTGACCTGAATCCTTAAGTGGGAGTGAGGTGCACCGCAAGCACGACGATGTACACCGTAACACAAGTGAGGCGAATGGCCCAGGAGAGAGTGATAGGGTTTCACGGTTGAACCCGAACCGCAGGAATTAAAACCAGTAGGCAGCGATGTGTGACGGCCAGAAAAAGAAACCCGAGCTGTAGGCAGGGGTTCCAGGTTTACCCCAAACCTCGAATCTGAGAGAGAGAGAGAAAGAAACAATGAGATAGAGACGTATCACAGGCATGTCGAGAAAACGGGAGAGTAAAGGGAGCATTAGTAGGCCGATAAACATCAAGAAAGAGTACATCGCACGGTTTTCTGGTTGACCCCCAACCGTAGCTGACGGGAGCAGCGAGGCAGACCTGTGTACCGGCCGGGAAAAAAAAAACAGCCCGAGCTGTGGGCTGGGGTTTCTGGTTTGCCCCGAACCTTGTATGTGATCCTCATCCTCCTCCACCTCCTCACCGACCCACCCAATCTTTTCGCATAGTTGGTACACGATGCGGAATATGTGTGCTGCTGCAGAATAAGACTGCTGCTGAGCGTGTGCGTCCTGACCGTACACGTGGGCAGATTGTTCACGTGTGCGTGGCGACACGAAGTGACCAGAATTCGCCGGCCCAACGGGCCAGAGGCGTGCTAAGATCTCCAGAAACTGGTTAACAATTGTATTGTACTAGTTCGCGCGCGCGGGGCGGCCCCTGGGGGTCCCCCGGCGAAAAGTACCCCGCCCGCCGCCTGGGAAGGTCCCGCCCGGTTCAACTCAGAGATGGTTTTCCTTCTGGGTGCGGCCTCTCAGGCCGCCCTGAGCGCGCCAAGAGTGCCCCAAGAGGCCCCCAAGATTGCTCAAGAGGCCCCCGAGACGTTCAAAGAGCGCTCCAAGGCGCCGAAGATGACCCCAAGACGGCCCAAGAGACCCCCAAGACAGCCGAAGAGGCCTTCAAGACGCCCCAAGAGCCTTCCAAGAGGCCTCCGAAGAGGGCCCCAAGAGGCCAAAATCGTTGATTTTCATTGGTTTTTCCGATGTTTTTTGCGTTCTGGCTTTTTCGGCTTCCGGACGCTCCAAGACGACCCAAGAGGCGCCCAAGATCGCTCCAAGACGGCCCACGAAGCTCCCAAGACGGCCCCGAAACGGCCCAAGAGGGCCCCCAAGACGGCCCAAGTGCCGCCCAAGACGGACCAAGAGGCCCCAAGACGGGCCCAAGAGGGGCTCAAGAGGGATACAGAGAACTGAAAAATCGAGCCCTCCGCCCCAGAAGGCGCCCAGGAGGCCCCAAAAAGGCCCCAAGAGGCCCCCAAGAGGCCCCCAAGACGCCCCAAGAGGCGCCCAAGAGGCCCAAAAGAGGCCCCAAGAGGCCCCAAAAAGGCCCCCAAGAGGCCGCAAAACTCGGCTAGCCCGCAACGGTGCGACAATATGGGCCGGCGGAATGAGCGAAGCGATTAAATAAGTGCCCGATCAGTGGGCAGAGTGTGAAGGAGGTGTACAACAAGCACGGCGATATATAGAAACCTATACGAGGGCAGACTGAGAGACTATTCGCGATCCAAAACAAAACAACCTGCGTGCAGCAGTTCTTGGGTTGCGGCCCAGGGGCACCAATACCCTCGTTTTGTGTGTGTGTGTGTGTGTGTGTGTGTGTGTGTGTGTGTGTGTGCGTCAAATTCTGTTCAAATGTTGCACGATACCTTGTAGTCCGAAATGCCTGTACACCGTTAGTATACATGCCTCGGGTTGTCCTAGGTTGACTGGCCTGCGCTCTTAGTTGCCTTTGGCAAGCGTGCCCTTGCTGTGGGCGAGGGTTTTCTGGTTGACCCTACACCGTCGGAACTAAGTGAGTAAGGTGGCCAAACAGATGGCGTCAAAATTTTATGGTTGACCCCGAACCGTAAAACAACAAGCAGTGAGGCAGCGAGGTGTGCCGAATGGGAAAAATGCCTGAGCTGTGGGCAGGGGTTTCTGGTTGACCCCGCGAGAGGCGTGCCACAAGCATGTCGATATAATGCGAAGTGAGGCATCAACGGAAGCTGTATCATCGGGTTTTGCTGGTTGACCTCGAACCGTAGCAGACGGGAGCAGTGAGGCCGCGATGTGTGCTGCCAAAGAATGAAAGGCCGCCGTGGACAGGGATTTCTGGGTAACCCCGTAACCTGTATGTGAGAAAAGCGTATCGCAGGCATGTCGGGAGGACGGGAGGCTGTAGGCAGTAGCGAAAAGATCAGAGAGAGAGAGAGAGGATTGACGTAAATGCGGTCGACATGCAGTGAAAAAAGGCCGAACGTCTGGCTCTCTGGGAAGGGTCGTACCCTGGCTGGGGACCCAAGTGCGCACAGTCCGCAGCTGAAAAAGGGATGGTCGCCTGCAACCGGGTCCCTCAAGGGGAACTAGCAATACTAGGGCTGCGACCCAGGGTTTTAAAGGCGTACCCTAAACCTGCATTGTGAGAGTGAAGGACCACCAACGTGTCGGACACCGCGTCGGAAAAAATACAGAGGTGTAAAGCGCATCAGTGAGACAGGAAACGTAACGGGAGAGTCGACAATTGTGTATTCGTGGCTGCACACTGTGCATAAGCGAAGGGCTCACTTGACGTACTGATGCGGCAATAGATGAGGTCGGAGCACTGGAAGTGGATGTCGTGGTGGGTTGCTCCCGTTGCGTGCTTAGTCCCTAGTTTGTCCTGTCTCGTTTCTGTTCGAAGTTTTGGACTTGGGTAGTGTGTCGTACAGTCGCGCAATCAGCTCGGGAGGAGGCTCATCGAAGGGTGCACCAGTTGGATGGTCGTGAAGGGGGCTGATGTGGATCTCGTATCGCGTCTGGTGTGAGCGGAGCCTGTCGATGTAGTTCTGGGATGTCGGGTCTCCTGTGTTGTTGACGAAGATGATGCGTCGACTGCAGTAGAGGATGTGCTGGTTTCCTCTTCTCGCTGCTGCGGTGTTTGCTGCGATTGTTCTCCTCCTCCTCCTCCTCCTCCTCCTCCTCCTCCTCCTCCCCGTCTTCCTCCTCCTCCTCCTCCTCCTCCTCCTCCTCCTTCTCCTCCCCTTCAGTCGGGCACGTCACCCTTACAAGGGAAGTTTGAACGAAAAATGAAACGTGTTAAACTTATCATTTAAATGTTAAGCTTCAAATTATGTGTTGGATATTCCTCCTATAGAGGGACAGGCCCAACTTCCTCGTCCTCCTCCTCCTCCCTATCGCTGCCCCCGAAAAACATGGGCAGCGGCTGTGGCGGTAGGGGGAGAGGAGGGCGGCCGTCCCACCCAATGCACGTCTCTCGTGGCGGCGAGCCGCGGCCCGTGGCTCCGCGGCGGAAGGCGAAGTCCGGGAGTCTGCATCGAACTGTTTTTTTTTTTATTTTTTTTTGGTCCCGGGTCAATCATGCCTTGCTGAATCCTGCAAGTCCCTCAAGATCCTGCGCCCAAGCCCGGGTCAATGCGACCCTGGCCCTGCAAGATCCTGCAAGATCGGGCGCTCTGGCTGACACCCGTTTGCATTGACCCTCGTCTCAAGGCTCCCGATTGAAGGCCAAAGCCATGGCGCCAGGATCCTGCGCGAAGGAGACCCAGACCTCCTTCGCGCCGTGAGAACATCGCGACAGGTCTTTGTTTCGCAATCTTCGGCCTCCAAAGTCCTCCCTCGCTGGGGCGCAGAACAATCAAGAACAAATTCGGGACGAAAAACCGGTCCTAGGGAAAGGGCCGATATATCTGGGGTCGACGTTGCGGGAACAAAAAAAAACACGACTTCGGGCGTCTCGAGACAGCGAGGGGCAGAGGAAGAAACAACAACCTGGCGATGGACACGACCATATGCAGTTGTGAATACCGTCGTTGTTGATATTGCCTTCGGTGAGTCTCCTCATGGGGCTACGAAGCGCGTGAAAAGTGTGCCGACATGGGGCGGGGCCGCCATGCGGACTGCGCCACTAGGAGCTGCGGAAGAGTTCCCTATGGGGCCCCGAAGCGTGTGAGGGGTGTGCCCAAATCGGGCGGCGCCGCCATGCAGACTGCGACACTGGCTGCTTCGATGGAGATCCTTTTTGGGCCACGAAACGTGTGAGGAGTGTCAACATGGGGTGGCGCCGCCATGCGTACTGCACCACTGAGACCTGAGGAAGGGCCCCCTATGAGGCCACGAAACGTGTGAAAGGTGCCAAACAGGGGCGGCGTTGCCATGCGGACTGCGCCACTGCGACGACCTTACCTTAAATTCCCTATGGGGCCACGAAACATGTGTTCCAAAATTGGACGGGGCCGCCATGCGGACTGCTCCACTGGAACCTTAGGTGGAACTCTCCATGGAGCCACGAAGCGTGTGAGGTGTGCGCGCGTGTGCTAAAATGAAGCGGTGCCGCATGCGGACTGCGCCGCTGGGGCCTGGGGTGGAACTCCCCATGGGGCCACGAAACGCGCGAGGGCTGTGCCATGATAGGGCGGCGCCGGCATGCGGACTGCGCCACTGGGACCTGAAGAGGAGCTCCCTAAGGGCGGCGAAGCGTGTGAGGGATGTGCCAAAATGGGGCGGCGCCGCCATGCGGATTTCGCCACTGGGACCTTGGGTGGAGCTCCTTGTGGGGCCACGAATCGTGTGAAGGGTGCGACGAAGACGATGACGATGGTGACGATGACGATGATGATGATGATGATGATGATGATGCTGATGATGATGATGATGATGATGATGATGCTTATGGCGATGATGATGACGATGCCGATGATGGTGTTCGTCTTAAACCCAACGCCTGCTCAGCCATAACAGTCAGCAAAGACGGCTGGGAAATCACTGCTGTACACGGGGGCCCGCACCACCCCTCGACCGTGAACTGCGCCTCGAAGAGCACCGCCAAGAGCAGGACCACGGAGGAACACCCGCGGGTTTCCAGCACCGCTTGCCGCGGGAGCCCCTGCATCGGCGTCAGGGCCGACGTCGCCGATGACGAGGATGACCACCAACAGCGACTGTACCTCCACCGAGCGCCAGCTGCCGCTCCAGGAGCCCGACGAAGGTGAGGAGCTCCGCGTCACTGAACATCTCGATGTTCCCGACGCGCTGGCCCAAGCTCCCCTGGAGGTCGGCGACGCGCAGCAAGAGACGGGTGCGCGCTTCGCTGGTGGCCCCGACCGCGCTGCCCCTGACCTCGACCCCGCGCGCCCCCTCGGCATCGGCCCCCGCAGTGGCCACCGCCTCCGCCGCCACCAGGAGGGAGGACGAGGCTCCGCCAGCCACGGCTGGCTCCGCCTCGCCGCCACCGCCGCAGGCGCCGCCGCAGGCTTCGGCATGGTAGCATCGCCAGACACCGCTGGCTCCTCCGCCGCCGCAGACCGCAGCAAGCCGTCCGCGAACGAGTCGTCCATGAGGTCGTCGTTGCCGGACGCGACGCGGCCGCGCCCGCCACTGCGGCAGCGCCAGCGCCAGGGCCGCCCCCGCCAGCGCCGGCCGCCGCACCAGCGCCTCCTCCGACTCCTCCGCCTCCACAGTGTTTCCGCACTTCATCCGCACCCGCAGCGCGGCCAGGCAGAGCCGCCGACGCCGGCGGAACGAGGGGTTCCGTCGTGCCGTCCGCCGCCGCAGCGGCCTCCTTGGCAGCGCCGCCGCCGCCGCCGCGCCCGCGCCGCCGCCGCCTCGGAGGGGCGCCAGCGCCAGGAGAACGTTGGGCAGGCACTGCGGAATGGCTGCGCAGCGCAGCCACCGCGGCGCGCAGGAGGCCCTCGGCCGCGCGCACGAGGCGCACACCTGCGAGCGAGTGGCCTCCTACCAGGCCATGGAGCGGCGTGGGTGGCGAGAAGAGCGCCGCGCGCCGCCTCCTCCGCGCACAGACGCTCCTGCGTCAGCGTCCCGGGCATGGCCGAGCGGCGAGCGCAACCCGAGGGGGCGCGCCCAATGACGACGACGGTGATATTGATGACGATGGCGATGACGACGACAACGCTGCTGCTGCTCCTGCTGTTGATGACGATGACGGTGATGATGATGATGACGATGATGCTGATGATGACGATGATGACGATGATGATTTCTGTTATCCCCCCAGGGCAGGTTTCTTTGTAGTCCGTAGTTGTTGAAGAAAGCGGCAGGGTATGGGGCGTCACCAGAGGCACCCACACAGGGCACCCACCTGGCCGTGCCGACCCCGAAAAGGGCCAGACCACCGAAGCACCCTCCCCGGAGCCCTGAACGCAGGGGTATGCAGCATCACCAGGGGCGCCCACACGAAGCACCCACCTGGCCGTGCCGACCCGTAAGAGGGCCAGACCACCGAAGCCTCCCCTCCGATTCACAGCCAAAGTAACCGTCGGGTCAAAGCATATCCTCGTACAGCCAGCTGCAAATTGAATTGGAAGCCGAAGAGAAGGACGTAGACATGGAGGTCCCAATGGGAGCACGAAGTGAGGCGTGCATCTCAGATGTGATTCCGATCGCCCTGAACATCTGCCGGCAGCGGGCCGCCTCAGAAATCCCGTCAGGAGGGTCAGCACGAGCATCTGGACCACGAAATCCCCCGTCCGCACAAGGGATATGCTCAGGAGGAGCACCAGCATCAGGAAGTGGCTCGACGAGAGAAACACCGCCAAGAGGACCATCACCACCATGAGCAGAGAGAGCCGCGTGAGAAACGTCGTATTTGTCCAAGACATGGGAGAAATCAGCAAAAGGCCGCTGGAAAAGTGCACGAAGCTCGGCATTGAATATCAGGGCCTGCCGCCGCTCAGCAGCCAGGGCACAAAGTACAGATCGACGACAGAGCCAGGCACGACGGTGACGAACTTCAGAAGACGCTGCCGCACGAACAGCAAGCTTCTCCACATAACTCGCACACCCTTGAGCTCCATCAACATCTGCACCAAGAGGATTGGCACTCGGAACACCGGCGGAGAGAGCATGAAAGGTAGGCAGAGCCGGCAACCGTACATCAGAAGGCCCGCGACCATCATGAGGGCCACGATCAGCGGGAACCACACGTCCATCAGGAAGCGCTCGGCAAGCAGGAAGCCAAGGACCATCAGGAGGTACACGTCCATCAGGAGGCGCACATCCATCAGGAGGCGGACGTCCACCACGAAGCGCTCGCCCATCAGGAAGCGCTCGGCAACCAGGAAGCGCACGTCCACCAGGAAGTGCACGTCCAAGCCAAATACCTGCAGCAGCACGAGACTCCGCAGCACCATCCGCATGAGGCTGCTGACGAAGTGCTTTGCGTGGTGGGGGCCAGTGGGGTCCGAGCAGCAGGTGACCAGGGATCACCAACATCTGGATCAAACCAAGGATCATCTTGCAGGTCCCGATCTTCACGAGGACGCCGGTGCCGAGGGCGATAGTCTCCGTCATGAGGGTCATCTGGATTAGGACCAGGCTTGGCATCATCGTCGCCATCGTCATCATGATGTACGCCATGAGCACCAGGCGCACGACGTAGTACAAGAGAAACGTGATTCTCACCAGAGCTCTTCTTGTGGCCGTGGTCGATGGAAATGTAATCATGCAGCCTGTGAGCCACGGCAGTGATCACGTCGATGAGGATGTAGTTCGCCATGCCAGGGTGGGCAGCTGGCAGAAGCACCACATGCACCAGAAGACGATCACAGTGCGACGAGAAACGTACTCGTCCCTGCCACCCTTCGCGGAGCTGCCCGAGGATCCAGTCCAACCGAGCGGCAACCACCATCGCACGCGCCGACAGAGCTGCAAGTACAGCAGGGAGGCCCTCGACCCAAGCACGTGCTTGAGCCACAATGGCTTGAGCCAAAATGGCTACGGATGATGATGATGATGATGATGATGATGATGATGATGATGATGATGATGATGATGATGAGGATGAGGATGATGTTGATGATGATGATGATGATGATGATGATGATGATGATGATGATGATGATGATGATGAACAGAGAAGGGAGGGGCAGCGGGAGGAGGAGTGAGAACGCGGGGCGCTGTCTTTTCGAAACGAAGACCCAACACCACAGGATGGTTAGGACAAACGCGATATGTAAACATGAACTTGTGGCGGTCCGCACGGATTTCATGGATCCGCGCCAGAATCGGAGTGCGCCAGGGGCGGCGCCGGAGGCGCCGTCAGGGGGGCCCGGCGCGGATCCAAGAAATCCGCGCGGAGCGCCAACAATCTATGCTTATGACATCTTTCTTCTTCGAAGAGGGGTGTCCTCGCGGCGGTATTGGGTCGCTGCTCGGCGGCATCCCGTCGGAGGCATCCCCGGCCTCCTACTCTGGCAGGCCGTCTTTTGTTCGCGGGCGTTTGTCGCGGGGTGGAGAAATGTGCACCTTCTGTGCACACTCTGGGCCCGCGGTGCCAATTTACAAATTGCTTCGGGCCCCTTTAGAACCTCTTTGCCTGCGATCCTCGATCCCTCTGCGTTTATTGCTTCCTCCCCCAGTGCCGTCCGCCCGAACTGTTTTACCAAAGGAAAAAGCTCACAGCATTATCCCGCCATCGTCTCAGGCAGGGCGAGCTGCGCACTCTCCTCGCTGAGCACAGCGAGGTCGCAAAGGAAGACAAGTTACTCGTGTACACGCCAAATGCGTGCCAACGCCTTCAATCTGAACAAAGGCCCTGAGACGTCCCAAAACCTTCTAATACAATCGAAGCTACGGTAGTTCAGAAACTACTAGAGCATAAGCTCCTAGAAAAGTATTTGCGGCAGCGTTAAAGAAACGATGTGCATCAAATGCTGTGCCAAAAATGTTTGCACAGCCTCGTGAATGTGTAGGCCTTCAAAACCGGGCCAACTTGCTGGAAGTGTCCTGCCAGTTCCCTGGAAACTCGGCCCAAAACGACGAGCGAATATTTCATGGTCAGCGTAACTGTAAATGCTGCCTACTTTGCACTTTAGTTGTGCGCATCTGCGAATGATGATGCGAGCGAGGCGCCGCGCTGGTGCGAGCACCTGGGCGGCCAGGTCTCAGCGAAGGCGTGGTAAGTGCCATCAGGGAGGCGTCCGATTGAAGACTTAAAGGAGCAATCAAATTGCATGAGCACAATGTTTCGGAGGTCCGCGCGGATTTCTTGGATCGGCGCCAGAGGCGCCGCCAAGGGGGCCTGGCGCCGATCCACCAAGAAAACTGCGCGGAACTCCGAACGTTTCCGTTTATGCAACTACCCTTTGGCCTACAAAACTCACTATATGATGCAACTTCTAACACCTTCACTTCGACCGCGCCGAACCACATCCACTCCCTGTGCACCGTCCGTGCTTGGCGGCGTGCCGTGCGGGTTCGATTCGAGAATCATGTTGTGGGCTTACCATGCTTCGTCCACCGTCCGCCTCCCAAAGATGGTCACGACCTAGGAATAAACTGCACACACACATGACCAGTGCGCCTGGCGCGAGTATCCACAAGTAGTAGCGCGGTCCCAGGGTTAGCACGTGGCGAAGGTCGAACAGGACTGCAGTCGGACCTAGGGCAACAAAAACATCCTCCAAAAACAAGAGGCCCTTCGCTGGCCAAACTGTAGAACATTCGAGGGTACCCTCCCCCAGGATCCACAAGAACATCCAACAAACACTATCAACATTAGGATGCCCTCCCCGAGCCGACCTCGACCTTATACCTCGGCCCGTTCGTGAGGTGCCTGGCGATCATCAGTTCCACAGCACTCTCGTCGATTCTTCCTGATGTATGGGTCGCTGGCTGCGGTCACACTAAGTCGGGCGTGCTGCCGAGCTCGCCGCCAAGTTGGCCGTCGCGACCGCCGTGGGTAGGCAAGCGAGTTCCACTACTCGCAAATTATAGAACTACTCGGACATGGCCTGGATCCACCAAGGGGATCCCGCGTTCCATCACATCGAGGCACACGCTTGTTCTACTTAGATTTCGCTAGTAGGCACATTGCGGCGCTGCGAGTAGTGGAGCGCGCTCAGTGAGCGGGGACCGCGGCAGGGCTCGCCGTCGCGCTGATGGCCAGGCTGGCTGTCGGGGTCGCCGTGGGGCTCGACGTGGGGATAGCACACGCTGTATTCTCTAAATCGGCCCCGTGTGTTTGAAAGCACTGCCCCTGGGTGTGGTCGCGACGCCGCCCTGTACCCGCTCCCAGGGGTGCAGCACCGGCGTGGCCGCCCAGGGCGCCCCGCTGCGGTGCCCGCTGCGTGAGCGCATCAGTTCCTTCCCTCCTCCGGCGGCCACTCTTCTCTTCCCCCTCATTCCCCTCCTGCATCTGGGCAATTCGCAATGCCGTCACCCGGCTTGCCCGAGCGCGCGTGCGGACTGCCTCTGCCGCGCCGCGACGTAAAGAGTTTGAACGCACTGCCATGCCTTATTCGCATTGGACGCAGCCCCTGCGCCCCAAGAGGCGTCACCAGCTCGTGACTTACCTCTTCACGGCTCGCACAGGAAGGCTGGGCGCTTCGGGTGACCAAAGGCCTCTGGCGGTACTCCGCCTCCTCGTCCTCGTCCTCGTCCTCGTCCTCGTCCTCGTCCTCGTCCTCCTCCTCCTCCTCCACCTTCCCCCCTTCCACCCTCCTCCTCCCTCCCTCGTCACCGTCTCCCCTCATCCTCTCCCTCGGCGAAGAAGACGAAGAGAAAAGAGGATGAAGGGAGAAGAGGAAGCCCCTTGCCCTTTGTGAGAACAACGAAACATCATAAACACGATATCTCGGAGTTCCGCGCGGATGTCTTGGATCTGCGTTGGACTCCATTTCCTGGCCCGAGGTAGAAAGAGAGAGAGAGAGAATGCAAAAGAAAGGATAGCATACTTCAGATTGGGGGAGGCGGCGGCGGCGCTCCACAAGAGCCCGATGACGGTCGATCTGGGGTTCCTTAGCGTTAGCAGCTCGGCGCCTGCCTGCGCGAAGCTAGCAGCAGCCCCGTACCAGCACAGGGGGATGCCACTGCACAGCCCACGCCGAAGCGGCTCCTCTCTGTTCTCGGGGAAACCAAGAGATACCAACACCGCTACTCGCCTGACCTCTCCAAAAGTGCGTTCTGACCAGAACTTCGAGGCGAATCCGACGGTGGCGACGAGGGCCTCCCGGGAGGCCAGAAACAGGGAAAAGAGCAAAAGGTAGCGGTATGGGAACCGTTTCCTCGTTTGAGTTCTGATGCACGTAGAGGCGAGACTAGACTGACACAAGACCTATCGGCCCAAGAGCAAGCAACAACGATGGAGGGGCGCAGGCAGTGGGAGCAGGCAAACGGACGGCCCATGAATTCTGGGGAAGGCGGGCGAGGACGACGACAACGACGGCGGCGGCAGGCATCGGGCGCAGCCTAGCCGACTCCTAGCAAACCACCCCCTTTCGTGACGTCGCCCTCGCCGCTCGAAGAGCACATACATACGTCTTAGGGCGATGCGTGGGGACGTTACGGAAAAGAATCGATTGCTAGGGGTCGGTTAGGCTGGCCCTGAGGCCGGGACGACGGCGAGGACGACGACGCGGACGGGACAAAGGAGGCCCGAGGCTCAATGAAGCTAGGCCGAGATCTGGTGCTGGTTTCTTCTCCTCCGGGAAGAGGAGGAGGCGGAGGAGGAGGAAGGGAAGGCGGAGGAGGAGGAGGAGGAGGAGGAACACGAGCAAGAGGAGAGCGAAAACAACAAGGCGACAACGACGACGACGAAGGCGGCGGCGGCGGCGGCGGCGGACGACGACTGGCGGCGAGGAGAGAGCTCGTGCAAGGCGGGAATGGCGCACGCGGGCGGTCCCCGAGAAGCACGCGGCAGCCCGCTGGCGTGGAGAAGAAGGGGCGGGGGTCGCCTTGAGCTCCTCCGCCCGCGAAGCCTTCGACGCCTCGCCGGTCATCGTCGCCCTCGTCGCTTCGTCGGCACGCCCAAAGACTCAAATCTACGGCGATGCGATCGATGTCAGCCGGCGTTCGCTCCTCGAACTTGGCGCTCTTGGGGGACCCCCCGCCGCGCGCTCTCACCCCCCCCCCGTTCTTGTCTCTTCGGTCGTTCCCTCTTCTGTCTGCGCCTTACTTTGCTACGCTGCGCCGCATCGTCGCCACACCTCCGCTTGGGTCCCAAACGGCCGACGGAACGGATGGGTTCCTCGATTTCGGGCCTCGGGGGCCGGTTGACCGGGGCCTGGGACCATCTGGCGACGAACCCGGAACGAAAGCCAGAAGGCCATACAGTCAGCCCGTATAGTGAGGATGCGCGATAAGGATGCAAGAGCCTTGGAGGGCCAGTTCAGAGCTTTCCGAAAGGGGCGCGGCTAAC